ATTATTTGAATTATTTTATACAGTGACACCTGTTGATAACCATATTAAGCAAATTAAAGAATAAGTTTCTTTATATCTTATGCCACGTAAGCTGACAAAAAAACAAACAAATAACTGTTTTCATATAAGTGCGGAAAACAAAATATGACGCCAGACGTTCAGCAACGCCACCAACGCTGCACTTACATAACTTATTCAAACTTTCAGTTATCATGGCGACAGAAGTTTAACTATTTTAGTGACTTTATTGTACTTTAATCAAGAAATATGCCGAAAAGAACAAAATGCAACAATTTGATTAATTTCATTTTATGTAAATTTAAAAAATAACGGAATCATACAAATTAAAACGTACGCCAACAAGGAATTCGGTTAAGCTATAAGCCTTTCATATTATGAGTGATAAATAATACATGTACTGTGAAAGATAAAGATTCTTCATGTTGATAGACTTTTGCTGAAGGTCACGTAGCAAATTGCTTACTTTAAAATGAATTGTATTTATAACAATATATTTTTACTAAATTAATGGTACATATACATTTTGTGATTGCATATACATGTATTTGTTTCAGGATCTTCAACAGTGTATAGCTTATATACAAACTTTTCATATAATTCATGTTTTATATTAGTGTATGAATATTGTATATGTAATATGTATGCATAATGTATCAATATTGTATTATATGAATTATAAGATACTAAATAACTCAGATTTTTCCCAAACTATTTTAAAGGCACTCCACTAATAACACATTTTAGTTTTTAAAGGGACTCTATTGATGATAATGCATAAAGGGACTAGATATAATTTTCTGACATTTATGTGTCTCCTGCTGTTCTGAACCAAAACGTTTTGTATAGAATATCAAATCATTTGCTCTTTTCTTTTCAAAAACGCTTTATAACTTAAAATTGTCAGAGAATCAAATAAAAAAAATGATTTTCGATTTAATTTTGAGTATATTTCTTCTTAATCTGTTTTATAAACTCAACTCAACTCAACTCTGTTGAATTATGCCACGTAAGTTGCAAAAAAAACAAACAAATAACTGTTTTCATAGAAGTGCGGAAAACAGAATATGACGCCAGACGTTCAGTAACGCCACGAACGCTGCACTTACATAACTTATTCAAACTTACAGTTATCATGGCGACAGGACGTTTAACCATTTTAGTGACTTTATTGCACTTTAATCAAGAAATATGCCGAAAAGAACAAGATGCAACAATTTGATTAATATTATTTTATTTAAATTTAAAAAATAACGGAATCATACAAATTAAAACGTACGCCAACAAGAAATTCGGTTAAGCTATCAGCCTTTCATATTATGAGTGGTAAATTATACATGTACTGTGAAAGATAAAGATTCTCCATGTTTATAGACTTTTGCTGAAGGTCACGTAGCAAATTGCTTACTTTAAAATGAATTGTATTTATAACAATATATTTTTTACTAATGGTACATATACAGTTTGTATTTGCATATATTTGTTTCAGGATCTTCATCAGTGTATAGCTTATATATGAAATTTTCATAAAATTCATGTTTTATATTAGTGTATGATTATTGTATATGTAATATACATATATAATGTATCAATATTGTAGTATAAGAATTAAAAGATACTAAATAACTCAGATTTGTCCCAAACTATATTAAAGGCACTCCACTAATAACACATTTTAGTTTTCTTTACTATGTTAAAGGGACTCTATTGATGAAAATGCATGAAGGGACTAGATATACTTTTCTGACATTTATGTGTCTCCTGCTGTTTGGCTGAACCAAAACCTTTTGTACAGAATTTCAAATAATTTGCTTTTTTCTTTTCAAAAACGCTATATAACTTAAAATTGTCAGAGAATCAAATAAAAAAAATAATTTTCGTTTTAATTTTGAGTATTTTTCTTCTTTATCTGTTTTATTAACTCAACGTAAGTTGCAAAAAAAAAAACAAAAAAAAAACAACAACAAATAACTGTTTTCATAGTAGTGCGGAAAACAAAATATGACGCCAGACGTTCAGTAACGCCACGAACGCTGCACTTACATAACTTATTCAAACTTACAGTTATCATGGCGACAGGACGTTTAACCAATTTAGTCACTTTATTGTACTTTAATCAAGAAATATGCCGAAAACAACAAAATGCAACAATTTGATTAATTTTATTTTATTATAATTTAGAAAATTACGGAATCATACAAATTAAAACGTACGCCAACAAGAAATTAGGTAAAGCTATCAGCCTTTCATATTGTGAGTAATATACATGTACAGTGAGAGATAAAGATTCTTCATGTTGATGTACTTTTGCATAAGGTCACGTGGCAATTTGCTCACTTTAAAATGAATCGTATTTATAACAATATATTTTTTAGCTAATTGTACATATACATCTTGTCATTACATGTAATTATTGTTTCAGGATCTTCATCAGTGTATATCTTATATATAAAATGTTCATATAATTCATGTTTTATATTAGTGTATGATTATTGTATATGTAATATACGTGTATAGTGTATCAATATTGAAGTATAAGAATTATATGAGACTAAATATTTCATAATTTTACAAACTATATTAAAAGGCACTCCACTTATAAGATAGATTAGTTTCTCTAACTATGTTAAAGGGACTCCATTGATGTTTGTACATAAAGGGACTAGAAATATTTTTCTTATTATAACATTTATGTACCTTATGCTGTTGGCCTGAATCCATAAATTGTGTGCATTATTTCTCTTCGTTTTTTTGAAAAACGCTTTTTAAATAAGTTTTGTCAAAGAATCAAATAAAAACTGATTTTCGATTTAATTTTGAGGATATTTATTTCTTTGTCTTTTATTTGTCTTTGATCTTTTGATATTTTTTTTTAAAGTTGATTTTTGCACTTATTTAATACACTAAACTTAAGGATTTTGGACCTCAGTGGAGTAGTAATAATCAAATAATTTAATGACCACTTAATGAAATTGAAATATGTGATAAGAGAATTCAACAATATATGTATATGTGAAATTGTATCTGTGATGGTATAGTAATGCGATCCGATTATCGCTGACAATTTCGTCATTCTAGTCATATAACAATTTGAATATTTTGTTTTTCGTGTTTAATAAAATACCATTAACAACTTACACATTTTTTATTTGCTTAATATTCTATCTTGCCAAACTACGCAAATTTTAGACTACACTGAAACTCTTGATGGCAATAAAAGATATACATGTGTATTGAAGTTGTTTATCGACAATTGATCGATATTGATTTAACTTGATTTGATATCCGACATTCAGATGTAAGACAAATGAAAAATCGGAGAACAAGGCAACATCTATCATCTATGTACATAAAATAAAAAAGTGGAAATCTGTATTGTACATGTATAAATCTTATACTATATAATATATATTTTAATATGTTTCAGCCTTGGTGCGGATATGTGTTAAATTTAGTTATGCACGTGTATTTTGATGTAAAATTTTTATTTATGTCTGTAAAATCGCAATGGAAATTAAAACAATCAAAACTTCCATGTATAACAGTATATACAACGTACGTTAACAACAGAAATGACCGAATGTTCACATTTCCACAGTTCAAATAGACGGAAATACTTCAATTAATCTCCTAATTTTCATCTCTATTTAACATCTTACCTCGTGACGTCATATCGCTGTGCTGTGGTCCAAAACCGGAACACCGTCCGTACACGGTCTTTAAAGGCAACCATTGCCCATCTATCTTTAAAAAGATAATCCGAAAAAAAATATAATGTCTACCGATTTAATATATTAAATATTAACTTTAAAGTATTAATTCAACGAATTCGATGAATAACTTTGTGCGGAGATTTTCACAGCCTGTAGTTTATACAACTTCAGAAACTTCCTTGTCGGGAGTTTACATTAAAACTTCCTTCAAAACTTCTTTCAATGGTAGTTAAATTTAAGTAAAGTACCTTTTCAAAAGAATATAATATTGTAGAAGTTTAATACCGAATATTTTGTTAAGATCAAATTACTTATTTAATCTTCCTTGTTTTTTAAAGTTATTACGCACATTTCTATTTTTGCTGTTACAGTGACTGAAGTGCATAAGTCACGTACTTCAAGGAGAAATTTCACGGTATTTCAATTATATTTCGTAGAATAATATGTTTGTGTTTAACAAAAGCTTTAAATAAGGGAACTTAAACTGGGACTGTTTTTCCTTAGTCATGCACGTGCATATTTGAGCATTCAAGTGATTCATTATAACTTAAGAAACAGAAGAAGAAAAGAAGAAGAAGAAGAAGAAGAAGAACAACAACAACAACAACAAAAGTAACGGCGACAAAAACAACAAAAGTAACAATAGCAGCAGCATAAACAACAACAACATAAAATATTGTAAAAATAAAATGTGTGGAAAAAATCCAGAAAGTTATATCTAAATTTCTAATATACATTATATGTTTAGTTGCCTTTAAGTAAATATGTCTATAAATGATTAAATATAACATTAGCATAACACATATCGATTAATGATCGAATATTAATCACAGTCAACAGTGTGTATAGAGATACGTTGGCAAATATTTGAGTTTTGCATGAACTTTACATTGTAAGTCACCTCTGGTCTGTTCTTCAATTGTCATTATTTGAAAAAATTACATGCATAGATGATTCCAACTACTTATAAACTTTTATAAATAAAGTATCGTAACAAATTGGGATCCAATTTTTCAACTTTTTTTCAAGTAACAAAAAATGACAACTTTCATGGATGGTTAGATTCAGTTACGTAGCAAGCTTAAATATTGAAGAAATCTGAGACATTATTCTTAATGGTCCATTATGCCCCTGAAATGTTTTTTGTTGGTTTGTTTTTTTTTCTCTTAAGGTTTTTATTTTTGATGTTCTGTAAAGTTTCTACATTACCTGAGCAATATTTTGTTTCTGTTGCATATTTATGTCGTATTTTGTATGGAAGTCAAAATACTTCTCTATATACATTTGGTTACTTTTATGACAAATAATTTTATTTACAGTTGATTTTCTCATCGTTTTATATCTTTCTCATTTGATATCTACCTCACTTCATTTTATATCATTGGATATCAACATCACTTGATATCTACATCAGATGATATCTACATTATATTAAAGGGACTCCAACAAGTTTTTTTGACATAACGGGTCAGGATTATTTTTAGATTAATATTCCATTTGATACAGGTCTAGACCTGTAAATTGTGTTCTAAATTTTGCAACGATTTTCCCTCAAAATCGGGCTAAAATAGCACAAAAATACTATTTTCAATTTATTCAGAGTACATTTTTGAAAGAAAATGTTTCTGTTTATAGTATTGCATTTGATCTTTGCAAGAAATTCAGCATTTAGACCTCAGTGGAGTCCCTTTAAATTCACATAATGATTTCTTTATTATTTCGTTCCTGATTTATATCTACATCGTTTGCAGAAAATATTATTTCTACAGTACATGTTTATTTGATATCGTATTTCCTTATATTCGACATGTTACTGCAAAGGGAAATAAATCAGCATTTGAAAATGTATATTTGCCTGTAAGAGTTCCTTCCCTTTAACAGTACAGAAAACAGTTTTAGTGTAGTGTTGTTTTCATTTTCTTAAATATCAGCAAAATCTACTTTTTCAATTACTTTCGCAAATTATGTTAATCATGCCCATCAGGACTTTATCGATGGTGAGAACTATTTGCTTAAAGAAATGTCGAGTACGACCCCGGATATGTCACAAGTCATGCCCTTATAAAGCACAAATCGTCCATGCAATTTCCGAACGATATGAATTTTGAGCCAAAAGTTGGTCACTGTACGGCGTCAAATGAGAACCATAATGAGACGATATGAAAAGGAGGAGGTAACTCCTGAAAAGGGCTGTTATGACAGCTAGGGACCTTCCTTTCAACCCGTCACTCTCTGCGCTAGGGGCTCACGCATCCTAGCACACATTCATCGTCGTCCCTACCTACTTTGTAGGGCCAATCCCCTCGGCATTAGTCAGGACATCGGCAGCTGGTCCACACACATACAAGTTCTGGTCATTAATTATTTATTTTTCGCCATACCGAGTTTTTCCAATCTCCTGCCGATGCCCTAAGCCTTCTCTGCGACGTACGCATTCCGATGGGTATAGAGAAGGGACTTGATCGTAAGACCCCTCGTACATGTATAAACAAATATCGAAATACAGTCAAACATGGGTTAAAGACCACCTTCGAATAAATACCACCCTGTAATTGAAGACCACTCTTTAACAAATCTTCATTTATTAAAATACAACAAAAACCTTCGAATAAAGACCACTTCGCTATAAAGGCCATGTATGGTCGCTTCTTCGGATGACTCTTTTTCAAAGGGTTGACTGTATATTATATATTACTTTTGATAATATAAAAAACGTTTTTCGTTCTAAATAATTAACCATTTTGTTTTTCAATGAAAAGTTAATGAAAATGAGAGAAATTTCTTTCTCTATTACGATAATGGGTAAATGATCATGATAATAAAAATGTATACAAAAAAAGAAGAACAAAAAAGAAAGACGACGCAAGTTTCAATGCGTTTAATAACTTTATTTATGCGGATATGTATACATTTTGTATCAATATATAGCAAGAATTTATTCATTTATTTAGTCACGTCTCCAGGTTCATGATAGACTTTATGTATGAACATTTTTGTAAGTTTTCTAATCACTTAAAAATAACAAAGCGTGAAAAATGTGTCTTTAGTTATTTACAAAGTGTCAATATATATACAGAAATAGATTTAATTGTTAATAACAGGGTAGAAATACGGTTATTAATGTTAATTTTAGCAATATTTTGCATTAATTGTGCAAAGCGCCCGTTGGATTCTGAATAATCACTTGTTATTACCATTACCACCCTAAATATCTTAAATCGACTCGTCCATCTTTCAATATGGACAAAACCATTCATCATTTTTAGGGAAAAAGTACAGCAATGAGTAGTGGACAGTGCAGATCATGAACAAACCGCAGGAATGAGCTCGGTCTGCACTGATTAAAGGGGTAGAACTTGCCTGCAGACACAGAGTAAATAATTAAGAATTTGTTCGTAAGTTTAATTTCTTTAAGATGGTACGGCATACTGGAGTTTAAGTTGGTACGGCACACTGGCGGAGAGTATCTCTGTAGTAGTAGTGACAGCAGCAATCTTTCGGAAGTCGGATATTTCTGTATTCGATTTTACCCCATAATGGCTTTACGGTAAATTTTCCGCTTTGGTGAACAGTGAATGAGTAGCATTTCACGGGAACTAATTCGTACCTGAAATTTGAATAAACTCAAATTTAAAAAAAATATAAGAATTTAGTATAGGTAGGATATCATTGACTTTTTTACCCTTACATCGCTTTCTTTGTTATGAGACTTTTAAAAATGACTATTGCATAGTTCAATCTTATAAAAAATTGAAACAAAAAAATATGTACAGTAGAACCCTTGTGTTAGCGGACAGAACAGACCATGTTCAAACCGCACGGTCTGAACTGTTTGTTCTGGCGTAATATGTCACCACCAACAAGCTTACTGTGGTGGTGTTGGTAGTTTTCACTCCGGATCACTTTGAATTTTCCAGTCCACAATTCAACCACCGCATCGTTTACCAGTACTAGTTGCCTTCACTTTCGCAAGGAACTGAAACTTCTGTACTTATACATGAGCAGAGGTACAGTGCGAATGACCGTAGATAAAATTTCATGATCAATCACAACGAAAGTGACCTGCGTCTTGCGGGAATCGAACCCGGGTCGCCCAATTCAAAGTCAAAAGCTCTACCTATTAAGCTAACCGGACGGCTGCAAGCTTACTGTCAAAGTGTGAATAAATTATATACGAAAATAGAATGGAAATATTCAAGTTTGTTTAGCAGCAGTGATTTCGCGCATGAGCTATCCGCTTTATCAGAAGACATAAAAAAAGGTATACATGTATATGCTCCGGTTTGAATGTATGTACTTTTATGTCATTTTTATCAACCAACTATGGTGGTTGAATAATAACAGACAATCTAACATGGCTTAATACCGTTATACAATGGGAAAAATAAAACATTGATGTAAAAAAATGAAATTTCAAAGTAATCAAGAACACACGAAGTTTAATTTTTTGTGAAGTTTATTTTTACCTATATTCCTCTAAGCATCTGTACCTTCGGTCATAGTAATGGTTGTAGTTGATACGACAATAATTGCTGCAAATCAATTGTCAAAAGTTGTTAAAAAGTGAATATAAATAGTTATATGCAATTTAATTGACTAGGAATTCTATGATGGACATTTACACCGCTCATGTCAACTTTGTGATGACCAGTAGAAAAAATAATCTTATTTAAACCTCAGTGAACGTGCCAATCCTTCACTCTACATACATGTAGATATCCATGTTAAAAACTTACATGCAAGTATCTAAGATACCGACTAATGTACAATACGCATATCAACAAACAATTAGAAACGTTACAGTATTTTAAGTTTAATCTTATTTATAACTTATATTTAAATTTATCATAAGTATAGCTATAAAATAATAGCTATAAAACAATGTTGCTAAAATCAATATCTTGTTCTTGGAGGTTCGATACCTGGCGCCGTTTTATTTCATACTTATATAAATTACAATACATCGATTTTTTCAAAATTGAAAATAGAACGACATATATTAAAAACAATATGATATAAATATCAGAAAAGTTCATAACCTACCAAGCACATTCTATTATAGAGATATACCAGTAATTATAGCAATACTTGTACGTTCTCGTATTGTTGCTGTTATATATTATATATCTCCAGTAATAGTACCCTGGACGTAACCAAATCGTCACTTCCGGGCAAGTAGGGTGGTAGTACGGTCTGCTGTAAAATGTATACAATGGTTAAATACTTAATGTGAACAAAAAGTAAAAGAAAAATATTAAAGAAAGAAAGAAAGAAAGAAAGACAGAAAGAAGGGAAGAAGAAAGGAAAGGAAGAAAACAGAAAAAGAAAGAAGGAAAAAGAAAGAAATAACTAAAGAAAGAGAGAAACTTAAGAAAAACAGAAAGAAAGAAAAATGAATGAAAGAATGAAAAGAAATAAAGAAAAAAAAAGAAAGAAGAAGACAAGAAGAAAGAAATTAAAAAGTAAGAAGGCAAGAAAGAAAGAAAGAAAGAAGAAAGAATAATTGAAAGAAAGACAGAAGAAAAAATGAAAAAAAAACTTACTTACAAAACAAGAAAGAAAGAAAGAAAGAAAAGAAAAGAAAAGAAAGAAAGAAAGAAAGATAGAAAGAAAGAAGAAAAACTAATAAACAAACTAACAAAACAAGCAAAACATGCAAAGGACCTCTGATGCTGCATTCTTATTTTTATACTAGTTTCAAAGAAATACATTCAAATGTGAATGAATGCTACGTTTCTGTGAAGAGACGTGACCTTGAACACAGTAAAACTCAAAACTCAAACCAGCGTGTTTTAGAAAGATTTAACCCATTACTGCACTTAGGGGACGATATATCCGCCACTGACTAGGATTCAGAAATTCAGTATTTTTAGACACACCAAAGTCACTAAAAAGCGTTCATTATGTCATGAAAAGAAGAAAAAAAATCTCTTTAGACACGGAAAGTGGCGGAGTTTAGACAAGAGATTTGACTTACATGCTTGAAGCGGTGGAAGCCAATCTTGCCTTATTTGCTGCTGTCGAAATAGAGGCCATTTCTGCAGTACCCGTCAATTCCTTAGCTATCTTCTCCCTGAAAAATTAAATTATTTAAAACATGATAACATAAGATTAGCATAATTTGAAGTTTGTAGTTAGTTGGCTATAGAGTTAGTTGTTAGTTAGTTAGTTAGTATTGAGTTAGTTAGGTAGTTATTAAGTTAGTTAGTTAGTTAGTTATTAAGTTATTGAGTTTTCTATTGAGTAAGTTACTGAGTTTTTTTACTAAGTTAGTAATTCAGTTAGTTAGTTAGTTAGTTAGTTAGTTAGTTAGTTTGTCAGTTAGTTAGTTAGTTAGTTAGTTATTGAATTAGTTACTGAGGTAGTTAGTTGGTTCCTGAGTGAGTTGGTGAGTGAGTGAGTGAGTGTATTGGTGAGTTGGTGAGAGAGTGAGTGAGTGAGTGAGTCAGTTATTGAGTGAGTGAGTGAATGAGTGAGTGAGTGAGTGAGTGAGTGAGTAATTGAGTGAATGAGTGAGTGAGTAGGTCAGTTGGTGAGTGAATGAGTGAGTTGGCGAGTGAGTGAGTGAGTGAGTGAGTGAGTGAGTGAGTGAGTGAGTGAGTGAGTGAGTGAGTGAGTGAGTGAGAGTAAACCATAAAACGTTTTAAATCAAAATCATTATCTTATTTTCCAACATTTCTTTGCATTTGCGTTTGCTTTGTATTCAAAATGTCGGAGATATTTTGTCTTTTGACATTTTTAACAGGGACGTTGTAAAATATTTGCATTATCTGCTGAGGCATTTCTTTATGATTTTCTTTAGACTAAGTTAAGTGAATAAGTATGTACATGCATATGTTAATGTATGTGGTTTTGTTGTTGTTGTTGTTTTTTTGTTGTTGATTTTTTTTGTTGACTGCTTTAATTTATGTTAATTATCTTTCGTATTTCTGTAAAAAGTAGATAATTTACAACGATATTTAATTTATTACTAAAAGAATATATCGTGCCCTGCTTATCCCGCCCCTTGTATAAACCCAACACCTGTTTAATTAGTACTCTTTGTAAACGGGTTGATATTTTTGGAGTTCAGTGATTTTTGAAATCTTGAATTCTGCATATTTAATTTTCCTTTATTCGAACTGAATTATAAGTTTAAACTTTACGAAACTTCGATGTTTTTACTTCAAACACAGTCTGTAAGCAATTATAAGTGTCGTATTAAATTTGTCTGCAGACTTCTAATATATATTAAAGTAGAAATACCACGCTAGTTAGCAAAAAAAGAACTTGTCCTTACAAATATTTTCATTACCCCTTGAATGTTACTTTTTCATAAATTTCTAAGTGTGCATCCTATTTTGTGCAAAAACCTCGAATATGTTTAATATATGCAATAAAATAATCTAGTTGAATAAATTTACTTACGCTGTCAGGGCTTTTGTGACCTCGTCAGCCGCCGTTTGTCCAATTTTACCTATTTCTTCAGCTTTGAAATTAGCCTGTATATTCAATGTAACCTTTGATTTACCATCTTCTAGCGTCCTACTTTCGAAGGCATCCTCCTCTTGGTTGCAAGGCGGTGCCGCATTAGGCGGTGAACCCTGGCTGACAGCCGCTCCGAGTAGCGTCATAATTACTATACCAGCGCCCAGTAACATATACCGACTGCTGCATGTTTGAAACTGAGACATATAAAAAAACGAAACCATTTCTTTTTTAGAAAATACAATTCTGATGACAATGCACCATATGATAAATTGCATATGAGCCGCGTCACGACAAAACCAACGTAATGCGTTTGCGACCAGCATGGATCCAGACCAGCCTGTGCATCCGTGCAGTCTGATCAGGATCCATGCTGTTCGCTTACCAACTCTTTTACAAGTAGAGACACTGATAGCGAACAGCATTGATCCTGATCAGACTGCGCGGATGCGCAGGCTGGTCTGGATCCATGCTGGTCGCAAACCCATTATGTTGATTTTGTCATGACGCGGCTCATATAATACTATCAAGTATATGTATTAAATTACTTAAATTTGAACTGAAACAAATATTGATGATAGTTATGTGAAATGCGGAAAAAAGTTCACTGCATGCATGTTTACCGCATTTAATCCTGGTTAATAACTTAAATATCAGAAATAAAATAGACATTTAGATTTTCTGTTTGTCTGTTTTCATTAATTTAAATTTCGGAAAATATCATGCGTTACAACGCTTTTCAGGTTTTGGTTATTTTTCACAATTAGAATAAATATTCTGGAAAAAACGGAGTGAGCGAATGATCTGCAATTTTATACACAAGTTATTGGTCTGGACCTTCATCAAATGAGCATTAATCTCGAAAAATTATTTTCAGTCATGTTAAAAAAAAACTTCAGTTGAGGTCCCTTTAATATGAAAACATTAACACGTCCATATGCATATACGATTAGACTTTTCTTAAATGGTGTAACTAGTATAGAATCAGCTTCAGAAAGTAAGAAAAAAAATGAATGATATGATTTTAAAACAGAGAAACTTGCCCTAAAAGTCATTCTTTTGTATACTTTGATTTTTTAAGTAATAAAACATTTCAAAATAATTATGCTTAAGTTGTAAAAAATATAAGGAAACAGAACTATTATATACAGATAAATCCTACCTGTGCCATTCTTATTCGACTTCAGTGGCGGCTCTGCGGATCAAAGTGCGTTCAGTAACATACACACGCGTTTTATGTCAACTGAAAGTAGTCCCTGAAATACACCATGCGCAGAAAAAAAAGTCCTCAGTTTTAACCATATGCAATTTATATAATTATATGTGGTATCAAAATTTGAATCAGTCGAAAACATTAAATAAGAGGTTCGTTTTTTAGGGCAAAGTTTGTCATGAAACACCCATTTTCGCACGTAACAAGAAAAATCACATGTTTACTCCATGGCTTTAGATTTAGTTTAAACATTTATTCCCAAAAGTATTATATAAATTTTATACATACAAATAAACAACAGACAAAATAAGGGAAAAGGATAAGAACGAAAGAGGAATCTCATAGAGTCCTTCTCCTTTGAACTTGAAAGCCTGAAAGGGGAAGAACAAGTTTTCTTTTTTTAACTGGTATTGTTTCAAGAGGGAGAATCACGCCGTTCATTACCCAAACAAACAAGAAGGCGGATGCAGTCCAACAGTAAATGTTTCCCTTTTTTCTCTGAAATTCGTGATGTTCTTGTGTAAAGGTATATATAATAACATTCTCCACAATTTTCCGGGCACATAGGATTTTATTTCATGATGTGTCTGTCGTCTCGTACTTCTTTTGAAATGCGCGTCACAAGAATCGAAGCGAGAGAATTTTCCACCGGTTTGATCGTGATAACGTATGGCTTCTTCTCACAAATTTACTGTTTCTTTTTCAAATATGTATATTAACTGAAACCACTGACTTTAAAAAGTTGTAGTAGGTCGTCGTCTTAGCATCCATGCCCACTCTGGCTAAAAAAAACAAAACGTATGGCGCACAAAATATCAATGATAACGTACGGCGCATTTTTCTACTTGGTGGATTGTCAGCTGATAATGAATTATTTGTATGTAGGATATGATATATATCTGGAAAAAATGTCTGTCAGTTCAGAAATAAATAATTGGACAATGCTGGCCCATCGGGTATGAATATCTTCTAGCTGGTTGCATAATAGATATTCGTTGTTATTATTATACAAACCTTTATCTTCCAATTAAAACACACATGTATAGTTTGAGATTTTTTTTGTATAAAATGCAGCCTCCACTTTCAGGAAATAGTGTGTATTGTTGTCTTCACATTATATTAAAAGGGATTGCGACTAGCTTACATCCAGATGAAATGAGTCTGTGTTTATTCAATCTGGTCGCTCATTGAAAGAAAAATACATAAAAGAGAATTATGCATGAGTGTAGGTTCTATATTGAATTTATTGAATAAGTTAAAAATAATGTTATGCGAAAAAGTTCAATAATTTTAGTAAATAATAAATTTCCTATTGATTTGAGGGGCGGTTAATATTGAAACGGTACCATTTAGCGTGACCATCGAGCTACTTTGACGCCAGCTATTTGCACGACCTAGCCACACAGTTTTTTTTTTTTAAATTTTAAATGAAAGAAACGTTATAATTTGATCAAAACAGTTACATGCAATACATGAATTTGCCTGCCATATTCTGGCGTTTTTTTCCACAAATGCCCCAGCAATCAATTTTTTTATACAAAGTATTGTAGGTATCAGCAATAAAAGAGTGACTTTAAAATTTGCTTATTAATTTCTAGTGGTAAACATTTTACCGACAATGAAATACAAGTTTCAAATCGGATTTGGATTCCGATGTATTTTTTTTTCTTTTCATGCCGGAAAACCCGTTGGAAACCTTTAATGCCAGACAACTCATGCGCTCATATGACGTCATTATCTTTATGAAAGAACGGTTATAAAAATTACTACGCTACTATGAAAATAGTATTTACGAAGCACATGTAAGTGTTCTTATCACACACCTGTGCCGATTTTGCGGGGAAAAAAATCCGTAAAAATGGTATTGCACGACCGTGCATATATTTTGACGTGACGTCATTAGCGTTACACAAACAAAGCGTAAATGTTAGCGTTATACTATAGGCGCGTCAATGAACAGTGAATTTTTTTCACTTTAAACGGTCTTTATTTTTGGTATGTGATAAACAGAATATTAAATTCGTGTAAATTCATTACTGAATTTATTGAACTCGTTGAATAAAATAATATTATGTTCGCCAAAGGCTCGAATAATATAATTTTATCCAACTCGTGCAATAAATTCAGTATTGAACTTAGATCTACACTCATTCAATATCCTCTATATCCGTGCTATTCTACAGAAATTAGAAACTTAGACTTTTTTCCTACATTAGTAATAAATATATATTACTTGACATTTGGTCTTGGTTTTTACTTTAACACGTGCAGTATCTTTTTCGCCAAGACGTGGATTTAAATCTGCACTGCATGTATATCCTTTATCCATCAATACAAAATTAATACATGTATATTGGCCTTTTGACGTCATTTGACTTAATTTATATTCAAAAGCGCCCCTCGAAGGCGCATGTGCAAATTTATGCAACTGACTATTTTTACAAACGTGGTTCTATGAAGCACTGTATATGACACATAGAACGAGACTATGAAGTATCGACTTTTGTTCTTTTATGAAAATTACAAGGTGGTTATACCATGCGCGCGCAGAATAGATTTGAATTTAATTTCTTTTAGAAAGAAGATAGCCTTACTTCTAGTTTTAATATTCCAAATGCCTTGACACAAGTCTTCCCTTTCTCGTCAGTATTTCGTGTTGAGTGCGATTTTGATTCTGGATACTGCGTACAACCGGAGTTGAAATGTTACAGAAATTGAGAAATTACCGATTAAACACAACTGGAAGTTAGTTTATAGTAGAATTTAATTCAAATCTAATCTGATCTGATTGCTTTGCATGACTCGTTTTTTGTCGCGGTATCAGAATTTTGAGGATGCGCGCGCATGGTATGACCCCCTTTAATTAACACAAATAATTTTGAAAAAAATACATGTTTCCATTGAATGACAAATACATTTGGACACTATTTTTATTTAGTGTCCAGCTTCATTTTTCATCCAATGAAAACGCTGTATTTCTTAAAAAAGCTTAATTTGTGTTTACATATCGGATTTAGATATTTTTATTCAGACAAATATTATTATGCAAACACTAAATAATATTCAGTTTCTTTATTTGGTTCTAAAGATCCTGTAATGTCTGGAAAGACCCAAGCAAGAAACATAACTTTTCTATCCAAAACAAACTGATATATAGAAATTCTAATAAGCAGAAAAATGCGCCGTAAGTTATCATTCATATTTGTGCGCCATACGTTATCATTTCCAGGAAATGCCCCGATATTAATATTTACAGCGGTTATTCTAGTCAGAATGGGCATGAATGCTTATATGACGACATATTACAACTTTTTAAAGCCAGTGGTTTCAGGTACTATACATATATGTAAACGAAACAGTGAATTTTAGAGAAGAAGCCGTACGTTACCACGATCAAACCGGTTGAAAATTCTCTCGCTTCGATTCTGGTGACGTGCATTTCAGAAGAAGTACGGACAAGACATCATGAAATAAAATCCTGTGTGCCCAAAAAATTGTGGAGAAGGTTGTTTAAACCTTTACACTAGAACATTACGAATTTCAGAGAAAAAAGGGAAAAACTTACTTTTCGACTGCATCCGCCATTTTGTTTGTTTGGGTAACGAACGGCGTGATTCTCCCCCGTGTTGTTTTATTAAACCCTGTCAGGGGCAAGCCGTTGTATCATAGAGCAAGAAATTTTACATTCATTGCTAAGTACTGATTGGTTCCAGGAACGGATTTGAAAGTGTTTCAATAAGCTTTTAGCTTCCAACACAATCGAACTAAAATAAATTTGTATAAACTAACTTATGTTGTCTTAAAATACCAACCTGTCGATTTTGCAAACATAGTTTATTAGTACGTATTTACAAAATTGAATTGATCAAGTGTTGCGTAGCCGTGCGACCAATTTAATTTTGTAAAAACGTACTTATAAATTTTAGCCAGTTATACGGAATCCTATTTCGTCCACAATATTTCGCTAGTAACACGCGATAATTATCGCCTCTAAAGGGCGAAATTTAGTACTAAATTTCGCATGTCTTAAATTTCGCTAGTCTCTCACGCGATAATTATCGCCCTTTCAAAAGACCAGAGACACTTATACTAGCGAAATTTAACAATTTCGCCTCGATAATTATCGTCTTAATTTTCGTATGTTGTGTGTTTCTCACGCGATAATTATCGCCTTGAAGGGCGCTAATTATCGCATGAGAGACTAGCGAAATTTAATACATGCGAAATTTAGTACCAAACTTCGCCCTTCGAAATTCTGGCGGGAAAAAGCACGTGTTAACGGTGTTACGGTAACACTGTGCTGTGTCTTCACCGGTAAAAATGGGGTGTCACTTTTTGCAATCGTTGTCATCTTGGTGAAGGGATCGTTGTGAAGGTGTGCTACCACTAAATTATCAGATAGTTTTATAGCGTAATTCTCTCATATAAACTGGTATTCACTTGTGTTTGAACGTGCATTGTGCTTGCACAAATTGTGTTATAAGCATAGAAATTGATATTTAAAAACAGTTCGATTTTTTTCATTCGGGCATCTAAATTATTTTTTAAATCTATATATTGTTATAATGATAATGATTAATTAAGTTTTGAAAATAAAATCATTTGTGAATTCGGTTAATTCCAAAACATAAATGAATAGGGATTTTTAAAGTTCGTTGGTTAATTTGCAAACAAATAAAAGTTCATTTTTATAAAAATGGTTTTACCAGAGGTGACTATAAGTTTACCCTCCGTCCTTCCGGGCTACCGAAAAGAGGTTGGGGATAACTTAACTGTAAACAGAACACAAAAGAACAAAAGTCCATTTTGTAACAAACGAATAAGTGGCTCTTTGCCCTCTATTAAACAATAGAAATGGCCCCTTATTCCAATCTGGCCGGACGTCCGTTCTTCCGTTTGTGTCACGAACACACAGTTTTTGAGGAAACATTTTCAAATTTTGTATATGACTTGTAGTGCAAGTCACACTTATCATTATACTGTTTATAACTAACATTACATTATTCACGTTGCTAAAATAACGTAATATAGGCACAGACTAAGTAAGATTTGAGGCGAACTACTCCTACAGTTCTCTAGCCATCATTTT